GGGTCACTACAACAACCAGCACCGCCCCGGGGCCGGCGGGAGCCGGAGGCTGGGCCGGCTGCGCGCGGGGCACCACGGGAGCGGGAGTCCACGGCCGGCCGGCCGTCACTCGGCCCGCGCCTGAAGAGTATGGACCTCGCGTCGCGACCGGGGGGAAAAGAGGAGGGAGGCGCAGTGCCCTCCGGGAAATGTAGTCCAGACACCTGGCACCATCCGCCGGGAGCGTGGGCAGTGCAAACTGGAATTCTGGAGTTCGGAGCAGGGCCTGGAAAGCCAACTCCCGGGCCACCGAAAGGTGTGGTCCTCACCCCCGACTTCTTCTATTGCTCTTGTCGGAGCAAGAGGCTCGCAGGAACTATCATTCCCAGAGTGCAGCGTGCTTCGGGCCCGGGAACCCCCGAAGACACTGGGAAATGAAGTTCGTAGCTTGAGGAGGCGTGGGCTAGGGAAGAGGCGGTGGCAAAAGGATCGTCCCAGTTCCAGACGCGACCCAGCGGCTGGTGGACCTGGTGTTTAAGGGAGATCCCGGCAGAGACCGCGGCCTGGGGCGATGGGAGCCTTATGTTCAGGGAGTGGAGGTGGATGGCCGAAAGCCGGACGGATCGCCAGACAATTCCTCTGGAGTCCTGAACCAAATGTGCCTGTGGGCCATAGCTTGCTGTGGATGGGCCGAGTGATTTAGGGTCTCACAGCCCCCCTAGAGCCTGCTGCTAAATCTGCCGAACCTCAGCCCCTGGCAGCCCACAGCCTTCCGGGAGAGGACGAGACGTCCCAGGAGATGGAGAAACTGGCAGTCGCATTGGACAGCGGGCGCACGGCCACCAGGGGCCGCTACCGGACAAGGGGCAAGGTTGCCCCAGCCCCCCACCCCCTCTCGTGCCCGTACAAACTAGTCTGGATTCGGTTTTTTTGTATTGAGGGGAAGGCACCGGAAACTCTTTATTACGGTCATGCGATCGCCAGACCCTATACAGTTGACTTTGTACATATTTCACTGCCTCTCTCTATTCGGCTATCTGGCCCAAGCTTCTGAAAGACAGCTCTAGGCATCCTTTCTGCGCACTCCTGGAGCCAAATTTGCGAGACCATCATCGCGGTCAGGATCCGTGTTGGCCTGCTGGCCTGCCTATCATTCTTTCATTTAGACTCTAAGCTGAGGCCAAAGAAGCTGCAGACACCCCAGTCAGGTGGTGGGGGAAAGGGGACTGCAAGGTGAGGTCGAGGCCCGGGATGGTCTAGAAGAGGAGGAATAGAGGAAGGTGGAGCGAATGGTCCATCCTGCCGGGAGCTGGCTGGGCGAGTGGCTGCGCATGTGAGCCTGCATGGAGGCCAGACTGGAGCAGCCAGCCAGGCACAGAGGGCAGCGGTAGGGCGCGGCGCCATGCGTCCGCAGGTGCTTGGTCATGGCAGAAAAGTCTCGGGAGCGCTGAGGGCAGAGGCTACAGGAGAAGGGCTTCTCGCCTAAGGGTGGGCAGAGGGGGACCCCAATGAAGAATGGTATAAAGAGTAAAGGTCAGCCAAGCTAGGGGCATGCAGAAAGGGATACGGATACGGGAGCAGGCAGACAGGAGTTGGGAAGGATGCAGACAACTCATGCTGGGCTGGATACCCATACCTGTGTGGACTCGGTAGTGTGTCTCCATCTGATGTTTGAGTGTAAACCTCTTTCCACAGACAGAGCAAGAGTAAGGCCGAACCCGAGCAGGAGGAGCTGGGAGAGGATGTTGGGGAGCTAGGTGGCAGGCTCTGCCATCATGACCCACACAGGTTGCATTTGAGCCTGTAGGGGCAGAGGAGTCAAAGGAAGGCATCCCTAAAGACTGGATCACTGGAACAGCCAGGCTTAGGTGGGGCTGAGGCAGAGCCAAACCCTATCCTATTTGCCTGTGTGGTCCTGATCAGACGGGGTCCCATTTCCCCAGGACTAGGCTCTGTGTGTGTGTGTGTGTGTGTGTGTGGTATTATGCCTGGGGAGAGGAAGCCGGGGAGCAAACAGAGTGAGTTAGTGGTCCTGCTCAGGTTGGACTCCTGGAGTTCCTGCCCTAGAGAAGACAGCATGTGCCAAGCAGGGAGGAGCTTACCTGGGGTGGGACTGGAGGAGGCCAATAGGTTCTGGCTCCAGAGACTTTTCTGGAGGTTCAGGGTCAGTGGGATCCTGGGAGGGGTATGGGGAAGAGTTACAGCCTTAGCAAAACATGAGTGCCTTGGCAAAACCTTGGGGAGAGGGCTGTCCTGGGACCTTCTCAGGGGCAGAACTCTGAGCATCCTCTCTCATCCCCTGGTCAGGAAATGTACAGATGACCTAAGATGGGTAATATCCTTCCCCCATCACCTCTGCTTCTCCTGAGCCACACCCTCCCAGCTTCTGCAGTGATCATCTACAAGCTGTTCACTCACCTCTGGTTTCCATGCCAGACCTCCTGCCAGGCTCCAGTGATGGGGGTGCTAGGGGAGAAGGGAGCGCCATATCTGGGCGGCAACAGCAGAATGCTCTGTAGGGCAGGTGGACCCTCCCCCAACCAAGGGGCCTCAGCCCACCAAGGCTTGGGGGTGATGCTAGCTTGGAGGGAGCCTGGTGTGGGGAGGGGGCCAGGAGACACCCCCAAACTTTCTTCAGAGCCTCTGGGACTCTCTCTCAACCACATAACCACTTCTGGCTTCCCATCTGTTCCCCGCTGGCCAACCCAGGATCGGCTGAGTTTCTCCTCCTGTGATCTCGTCTGCTGCCTGGAACCCTCTGGGCTTGCCCCTGTCACCTCAGGACTCTCTCTTGAGAGCCTGTGAGGGAACACGGTCTCCTCTTCTCGCCCACCGGCTCTGGAAAACTCTTGTCTTTGCTTTTCTCCAAGGCCCACCAGTTCTCCTCTCTCAGAATCCCTCGCTTTTCCTGGCTCCTCCTGTTGTTTCTTCAGCCCTGGATCCTGCTCCTCTTTAGCCCATTGAGCTCTTCTGCATGCTTCTTCCAGGGTCTGGACCCCCAGGGTCCTGGCTGCCTCCTCAAGACGTCCTAGCTCCCCAGGCTGCAGTTCCACGCTCTCCCCATAAACAAAGTGTAGGAGCTGGGCAAAAGTGGAAGGGCTGATGCCCTCCACCAGAGCCCACCGGCCCCTGTGACCCAGCTGCTGGCTCACACCTGCTAGCACCAGGCTATGAGCGGGAAAGTCCTGGCTCCCCACAGTGATCAGGGTATCACATAGTGCCGGCCAGAGCCTAGCTGCCAGCTGCACCAACCGATCTGCGCCATAGGGACTGAGCAGTCTCACAGGGGGTAGGGACATTGTGCCTTGTCTGGGCACCAATCTCAGAGGTTTTGACAGAAAGGCCACAGTGTGGGGTCCAGGGTGGAAAAGGGAGGGAAGAACGGCATATTCTCAAGCCTGTGGAGGTGAGGGGAGAAAGAGTGAGTTGCTGAACCTGGATCAGAGTTTTTTGTCCTGAAATGGAGCATATAAACCAGTCCCAAGGAGGACCTGAGCTTAGTCATCATCATTAATGGGTTGGAGGGAGAATGGAAATTAGATCAAAGTTAGACTTAGAGAGCAAGCATCAGGCATGTAACATAAACATCAAGTAGCTGATTTAATTTAAGGCTAGTACTGGTATATGTTAAGGAGCTCTGGTAGCGTAGTGGTTATGAATCGGGCTGCAAACCTCAAGGTCAGCAGTTCAAAACTACCAGCTGTTCCACGGGAGAAAGATGAGGCTTTCTGCTCCCGTAAAGATTTACAGCCTTGGAAACCCTGTACAGGGTCACTATGAGTCGGAATCAACTCCACGGCACATAACAACAACAACTGGTATATGTTGGGAGTCCTGGTGTGGAGTTGTAGGATAAACACTGGAAGTTCAAACCTACCAGCTGCTCCTTGGAAACCCTATACAGGATGGCTATGAGTCAGAACCAACTTGACGGCCTTTAACAATAATTAGTATAATGTTGAGCCTCCCAATCGGCAATTGGCAATCTGGCTGAAAGGATAGCAGACATTGATATTTGAAAGACCTTCAGTAGGCCAGACTTTGCTCAATCCAGACTAAAGGATCACCATGAAACCCAACCAACCCTGGCATTTAGGCAGAGCTTGGAAAACAAGTACATCCTCCCTCCAAAACACCCAAACAGTGGTGCTGAAGAACTCTGGTAGCATAGTGGTTATGAATTGGGCTGCAAACCCCAAGGTCGGCAGTTCGAAACTACCAGCTGTTCCACGGAAGAAAGATGAGGCTTTCTGTTCCCGTAAAGATTTACAGCCTCAGAAACCCTGTGCAGACAGGATCGCTATGAATCAGAACCCACTCTGTGGCACATAACCACCAGTGGTGCTGAGAAGCAGGGCAATAAGGCCAGGGTCATGGCTGTAGGAGGGCCAGCTACAAGTCATCAATCAATCCATCACCCCACCCCCAGGAGGAAGCTTCTAGAATGTATCCTCAGGGCAGAAAAATTCCCATCCAGTAAGCTAAGAGAGGAGGTGCGGGTGCCCCAGGAGAGAATGCTCTTGATCCAAGGATGGAGACAGGTGTTTGGAGAAGGCCTTGACCCTTGAGGAAGTGAGAGAAAGGGAAATCAGAACTGTACAAGGTGGGCGGCGGGGAGGGATCTGTTCTCCAGATTAGGATACGAAGATGAGCCAAAAGTGAATAGAAAGACAGAATCCACCACACTGACTTTCCAGAAGAGAACTGGGTGGTGGTGGTGATGATGTTCCGACTCATAGGGACCCTGCAGAAGGTTGCCAAAGGGTTCCTGTAACTCTTTACCAGAGCATAAAACCTCATCTGGGTGGAAACCCAGATACAAGAGAAACAGAACCTAAGTGTCTCAATGCCCAGTAGCCCTATTCCTAGGGGCAGGCTCACCATGTGCAAGGACCCTTGTGGGAGGAAAGGGTACTACCTGGACACTTTGGGGAGAAGGTTGCAAGTTGGCAGGGAGTGAACCGAAAGGGATGTAATGTGGAAGGGAGAACCTCAGCTGGAGAGAAGCAACCACTCACCGGTTGTAGCTTCCTCACTGGACACCGCATGCTCTGAACTGCTGTCAGGGCTCCTGGGGCCCCCCCTGGAGCTAGCCCCACCCCTGACCTCACAGTCCTCCATTGGATGTCCCAAGTATCACCCAAGGGGGTGTGGTTTTATGCCTCTAGCTCTGCTACACCCCTCCAGGAAAGACCACCCCTCTACTCCTAGATCCCATATGGCCTACCTCCTTACCTCCTGTCTCCTTACTTCATTTGTCAAGTAGGGTCAAAGAAGAGGATGTTTCTGAGGCAGTGAGGACTTGCTAATAGACCCACATCAGACTCTCATCTCTGCCTTTTACTAGTTGGGTCATCTTGGACCAGTTTACCTCCCTGAGCCTCAGCTACCTCCTCCATGCAATAGGAATAATTTCTGCTTAGGTCTCTTGGAGGAGGGGTGAAGGTGAAATGACATGATGGATGTGAAAGTGATTTATAAGTGCACAGCATCATTCAGGGAGTATTTGTCCTGTTTCTTAGCAGTGGCAACACAGTTGCCATAGCTGGAAGCTATTTCTACTCCTACCTCCCAAAGTAAAAAGAATCAAAATAACTGGATTCCAAGGAGAGCAGGAAGGATTGCCAAAGGCATTCCTCTTTTCTCTCTCTCACTGTTGGAACTGGAAAGCCTAGTTTACTCTGTAGGAAAGACCCCCACTATCTGGGTCAGAATGGTGTATTCAATGTGAGTCAGATTCCCCCCTCAAGCTCCGATGGGGCAACCCCAGGAAGGGCCTACAGTGGTCTTTGAAGAAAAGAAAAAAACTCTTTTTCTTGTGCTGATGACAAATGACATTTCTCTGAAATTAAGACTCAGGGTTTCTTTCACTTCCTGCCCAGAAGGTCAAAGTCCCAGGAGGTTTCCCCTCTTCGTTTTAACACTCTTTAATCTGGGGAAGGGATGAGGTCTGAGAGATTCAAATTTCTTTTTCTGTTATTATTCTATCATCCCTACTCCTGCAGCAGATCTTACATTCATTCAATAAATGTTGATAAAGCAGTTATCATTTATGCCTGGGACATCATATATGCCCAATAAATAACTAGATTAGAAACAAGAGTGTGAGGTACCTGTAACTGTTCTTGTAACAAACAAAAAAGGCAGTCCTGTTCTCCCTTGGCTTCCGTTTCAGATCCAGGTCCCCTCTGGATTCAAATAATGTCTCCAAGGTCCTGTTTCTCCCTTTAGCTTTGGGACTCCAAAATATTCAGACCAACCTTCTACTCAATTCCTCTAAGTTTAACATGTCTCATTCTAGCTGGGGTGTGAGCAGGTGTTAACCCTTCCTAGATAAGACAGGGTGTGCCAATGGGTGGGGCTGGTGGAGGGGCAATGGGGTGGGGAGAGGAGAAGATGAGTCAGAGTGAAAGGGAAGATGCAAATGGGCAAGCTGAGTTCACCTGCTACACCTCTGAATATTTTCCATTTCTGAGCTCTCTTAACTCCTCATCCCACCACACCCAGGAGCACATTAGACACAGATATGAGATGCTCAGTCTAGACACATAAAGCATCAATCTCTGACATGTATGCTTTCCCTCCAAAGAAGAAACACATGATCCTTAGAACGATGGAATAAGTGGGGAAAGCCATGAGGGAGAACCCCCACCGAGTCTAAGAGGCGAGGTAACAGAGCAGAGGTAAAGAGGGTAATCTAGAAGATTAGATCATCACCCTATGGAGTGGTCCCCCTCACCTCCCAGCCACACATCATGAACCTATGACTCAGCACCCCTCACCAGAGTGTTTCACCCATTGATGATCAAGAGACTTGGAGATTCTTGTTCAAAGGGCATCATCCTCTGTTAGCCACATGCAGATGACAGGGAGTGTGAGTGGGCTTCAGGGAAGTCTAAAGGGGGAGGGAAGAATGGGCAAGGGAACTTCCCCTTCAGGGAACTAAAGCCACCAAGAATGGGAAATCCCAACCTGGTGTCTAACCTACCTTAGGATATCTCCTTAGAGGCAGCCTCCTTAGAGGTGTCCCCAAGGCCCTCTGCACCTCAACCCTTAGGCAAATGACACTTTAGGTCCTTCTCTTTTCACAACATTCCTGACAAAGTAGCTCAAGTCATCCTGCCCTGAGCAATGACAGCAGAGGTACCACCTTGACTTAAAGGACACACTGTTGGTATACTTGAGTCTCCCCTCAAAGTCCAGCCTCAGAACCCTTGCCCACCTTCCACTTCCCAGATTGACTCAGTAGGGAATCATCTGCAGTTGTTTTCCTGGGATGAGGCCAGGAAACTATAGGCTATGAACATACTAGCTTATATCCTGGGAGGAAGAGGATTATGTGAGAAAGGGAGGTATGATTTCTGCCCCTGAGAAATATCTTCTAATACTCATGCTACTGAATAAAATTTAAAATCTGTTATATTTTTTAATGCTTATTGGTAGGCCTGACCAAGGGGACAACTAGGGGAAAATGTATCCGAGGTTCAGTGCACACCCTGGCTACCAAAGTGGAGCTCTCTAGAGATCTTTGTATCATAAGGTCTGTTATGAATCGAATTGGGTCCCCTGTTTGGAAATAGAGCTTTCTTTGTTGTATTTATGAAGCCAAAGCAGTGCAAGGTATGTCCTAAACCCAATTGCTTCTGAGTCAAATTAGATAGAAGCACACACCAAGGAACCCAGAAACCATGTGTGGATCACCAAGAAACCAAGGAACGCCCAGGGCTACCTACAAGGCAGGAAATGGCACAGTAGAGAACCTGAGTTAGACATTTAGCCTCCAGAACTGTGAGAAATAAATTTCTGTTCTTGAAGGCCACCCACTTGTGGCATTTCTGTGACAACAGCTCTAGAAAGCTAAGACAAGAACTTTCAGGTACAACCAGCATGATGTAAAACTGCCCACACACCAGTACAAGTAGGGATTTGCTTTAAAACGCTGTCAGTGAAATCAAATCATGAGGTCAATGGTTTAGATGATCTGTTTTACAAAAGGTGTCCTCTCTCTCATTTATTTTAAATACTGATCCCCCTTCCCAAGCCAAGCTAAACAAGATTCAACTGAGAAAAACTATAGCTTGCCACCCTCACCCACCCCAAATCTCTTGAGGTAAATTAAGGTGGTTCAATTCTCCATGGCATTTTATATATACAGATTAAGTATCTAATCTGTAGATTAAGACCAATTATCCAAATCTTCCATGAACCTTCAAGATGTTCATTCTTCCTAATTAAGTACATCGAACACATGCTCTTAAATCTATGTTCTACATAACCTCCAAACTAGATATGGTCAGGT